AGAGCTTTGGATGTCACCCAGTGTCTAACTTAGAGGTGGGGGGCTGAGGCCCATAGAAAGGAAGTGGCCTGCTTAAGCTCACACAGGCTTGGGTGGTGAAGCTGGAATGCGGTTTCCCATCCACAGGCCCGGGCTCTTCTTCACCACTCAGCTCTGTTCGTGAGAGAGGAAGCAGAGAAGCTTAGACCAAATCCTTGGGGAGCTGCTGCTTTGTTGGTCCTCGGGCTACATTTTGGACCCTCTTTTAGTGCCCTTCCCTCCTGACCCAGCCCTATTACAGCCCTATGGGAGGAGTGCGCTCTGGCGCCCCTAGTGGTGGTGGAGGGTCTCCACGGGGCAGAAAAGGAGTGGTCTCTGGACCTGGATTCTTTCAGTTCACTTTAGCAAATATTAATGAAAGGTGCAGGATGGAAGACACCATAGGGGATGCCAGGAACCATAAAACCAATTTGAATTTTCCAAGGGAAAGGGGCACCACCTAGGAAAGTGGCATCACGTATGAGAGAGAGCCTACAGCTTAGGATGCCAGCAAGCGTCATCTGTGCTGAGGTTAGCACAAGGTCAAGGGGAAGCTTCGTTGAAAAGTAAGGGAGTAGAAGGAGGCAGGGGTCGTGGGTGAATAGGCTCTGCAAGTGTGAGGAGGAGTAGGAAAGCCATTCCTGGCCACAGGAACAACCAGAGCAAAGGATGGAATCAAGATGTCGTTCTGGGTGGAAATACCCACCCTGAGAGGATATAGGGCAGGTCCAAGCAAGTGACGGGCAGTAAGCCTGGACAGGGAGCAGAGGCAGCCGGTGCCTCCAATGCGTCAAATATCAGGCAGGGCATTTGGGTTTCTCTGCTGGTCAATGGGACCATGGAAAATACTTAACCAGACTGAGTGGCGTGATGGGGAGAAAGTAACAAGTGTTGGGGAAGCCTCCCTGGCCTCCAACTTTGACATTATGACCTGTTGCACTTTGGGCAAATCACCTGACTCTCTGAGCCTCAGTTTTCTCATCTGTGAAATAGGCTTCATAATGGTACCTACCACTCAGGGTGGCTGCAAGGATCACATAGAGCACTAGCATAAACATGCTACAGCAATCTGTAGCACTTGGTAAACATGCTATAATCTCTGCCCTGCCTCCAGACTATCATCAGGCTATTAGTGGAGGTCGAGACAGCAAGAAGGAGCTGCAGATATGGAGGTCCAAATCCCCGGGAGAGCCTTGAATCCCCTTGGTGGCCTGGGAAGGAAGCAGAAACATTGTTCAGTGGCAGGGAGCCCATGGCCTGTTCACTCCCAGTCAGGGCAGGTCTGAGTCTGCAGGTGTGTCTGGTCCAAATGGCCCTCACAGTGAGTGTAGGGTGGAGACAAGAACCCAGGTCCTGATCACCCAACAGAACGTTCCTGCTGTCCCACAGCCACCTCCCAGCCTGAAACCCCCAGGCCACATCCCTTTATCCAGACCCAGCTTGGGTACCTGGCCAGGACCTCTGTTTTCTCATCTGAAATGAGGATGTCCAGCTCAGGAGCTCGTGAGGCTCTGAGGGCCAGGCCAGGGGTGAGGTCAGGGGCTACTCACCTGTGTGAAAACATCACCAGAAAAAAAGGCATCCTGGGGGTGGGAAGCAGGTGCCAGAGCCAGGCATGAAGTTGCCCTGGGTTGCCTGGCCCAAGGGGCATTCCTGCTTCTCCCTGGGACAGGTTGATAAGAGCCTTGAGAAGCAAGGAAGGGGGATCACTTAGTGGTCAGGAGCATAAGCTTTGGGGTCTGACAGATTAGGTTAAAATCCCCGTGTCCATGAGCTGGTGCTACAGTCTTGGTTTCTTTTTCTGGAAAAGAGGAATGATAACACCCACCACATAAGGTAGTTGAGAGAGTTGAATGAAGCATAAAGTATGTCACGTGCTTAGTTAGCTTTAGGTCCTATATATTGCAGGGGCTTCATAAATGGCACCTGTCTTTACTCATGGAACATTTATTGAGCACTTAGTGGATGCCAGGCTGTATCCCAAGCTCTGGGGAGATGAGGGGACCAAAACCCTTGCGAAGCTCGCAGCCTAGTGGAGGGCGACAGACAAGTAAGCAGATCGGCTTGACCGTGTAAGAAGCACTGCAGTAGCGAAGTACAGGGTATTTTCAGAACCGAGGAGGTGGTGAGCACGGCATGGCGGGAGCAGGGAAGGCCTCCTAGAGGAGGTGCTATTTTTACTGAAACGTGAAGAGGAATTAGCCAGGTTTGGGAAGGGGGTAGTGCAGGGAGAGTGTCCCTGGCAGAGATATCACCTGCTCTGTGTTAGGTTTAGTGTGGGGTTGAGGACAGATGATACTCGGGTGAAAAAATGTGGCCTTGCCCTGAGGTTCTCATAAGCCAGTGGAGAGCTCTTTCCCCTGGGCCGTGGGCCACAGAGGTGAGCGGATATGGGACTGGGAGCCTTCTCACCTCCCCGAGGCAGCATTGCCTTGGAAATCTCAGCCTCAATTCTCCCCCGCCTCTGCCCTGCTTCCCCGTAGTCCTGGGGATCACCAGGTCTAGTGTGTCCACCTCTGCCCACTGTGGTTTCCACCATCAGTGTGTTGTGTGGTGGTATCCTGGGCCCTAAGCTATGGTGGTCAACAGGGCCTGGGCCCTTGTCCCTGAGCCCTAGAGAGGGGTCTCAGGGCTTTCCCCTAGGAGACAGGAGAAGTTCCTAAGAATGGAGGGAGTGGCTGCCTGCCTGGGAGATGGTGGGCAGCAGGGAGGGTGCAGCTCACTGCATGGGGAGCTAGGACTCTTGGGGTCCATGCGCAGTCACCAGCGGGCTGGGTTGGAGGCACTGGAGTCCCCACTGCCTGGATCCACCAGCCTGGATCCTGTCTACTCACTTCCCCACCCTCACTCCCTTCTGCAGAGCCTAAGCATCTGCTCTGCTTTCGGAAAAGACTTTGACACATTTTCAAAATAATGTCGAGAGTAATCTCCAGAGGGGAAGAAGAATAAACAAGCTTAAAAAATGCAACAGGAAATGTGTTGTGTGTGTGTGTGTATTTTTTTAAGGGGAAACAAAAAAAGCAAAGGAGGGCCTCAGCCAGTTCCTTTGAGTGAAAGTTTCCAGCTGGGAGGTCACAGAGACTTCAGGGAGCCAGGGCACCTGGGGTAAGGTTTCAGTCCAGATGCAGCATCAGCTCAGCTAACAGCTGGGAGCCAGCGGCCGTGCTCTGTGCTGCAGGGGCAAAGGTGCAGAGATCTGAGGCCTCCTGCTAGCCGAGGACAACTCTGGTGGGGGGCTAGGACAGACAGCAAAGGACTGTTGGACAAGGGAGAGCATGCTAAATGTCATAACAGAAATGTTCAAATAAGGCTGAAGGGACCTGGGGGAGGGAGGGCTCACTCCTGGTGGGCGGGTAGTAGGGGGGTTCGGGGCTTCTGAGGAAAGTCTTCAAGGATGAGTTGGGTCAAGTTAGACTTTGGAGCCCAGCAAGGATTTCGATGGGCAGAGATTGAACAGAAGGCCTTCCAGGTAGCCCCAGAGCAGATGGTGTGGGCAGAGGTGCAAGGTGGGAAATTCTTTGGTGCTTTGAGAAACAAGGATATTTAATTTTCTTAAACATGTATTTATTTAACAGCTATATTGAGATATAATTCACATACCATACAATTCACTCACTTTATGCAATGTACAAAGTTATATAACCAACACCATAGTCATTTATAGGATAATTTTAGAATCAACTTTAGAACATTTGCATCACCCCAAAAAGCAGCCATGTACTCGTTAGCAGTCACTCCCCGTTCCTCCATTCCCCCAGTCCTAGGCAACTGCTAATCTACTTTCTGTTTCTATGGATTTGCCTATTCTGGGTATTTCATATAAATGGAATTATATATGTGATCCTTTGCGACTGGTTCTCTCACTTGGCATAATGTTTTCAAGATTCGTCCATGCTGTAGCAGGTGTCAGTATGTCATTCCTTTCTGTTTTTGTTTGACTTCATTTCTTTTTATGGCTGAATAGTATTCACATACAAATACTGTATGTAGCGTGGCTGTATCACATTTGGTTTATCTATTCATCAGCTGATGGACATTGGGGTGTTTTCACTCTAGGGCTATTGTGAATACGCAGCTATAAACAGTTGTGTACACATTTTAGTGTGAATGTGTTTTTAAGACATTCCATTTTGAATGGAGTCTAGGACAGTCATGGGGAGTGGGAGAAAGAGGGTGAAGCAGAAGGACCTGCTCACCCACTTCATCGTCTGAGTGGTTGGGTGGGAGTGAGAAGGGACAGCTCGGTTCCTGCTCTGGCCTCACTGGGAGTCCGGGGTATGTGAGGACCAGGCTCCTGGGATATGTGAGGTGCTGTCCCTCCACCCCCACCAACCCGCATTGTTGTGTCAGACCTGGCAGCTGTTTGCTGGGCTGGAAATAGCCTGAGCAGCTGGTATTTTCCCTGGAAATTGGGTGCATTTTTTTCCCTGTGTCCTGCTGAGGGCCAAAATTAGTTAAACACACAGAGAAATGTGAACCATGCAGTCAATCTAGAGGAGGGGAGTGTTGTCAACAGGAAGCTGGCTGGCCGGGGGAAACGGGTGGTCAGGAAGACCAAGGTCAGTGAGCCCAAGTAAGACGAGGCTGAGCCTCGATGCCCTGTCCCCATCACACTCACACAGAGGTGGTGGTTTTGTTTACCGGAAATGCTGCAAGTGTCTCATTTGACAGATCAGGAAACAGAAGCACTGCATTAAAGGGATCTGCCACTCAGAGACAGAAGAGAGAGTAAAGCTGAAGTCTTCAGTTCTGCTGTTAGCAAAAGGTTTGGTGAAACCCAGGCCTTGCTCTCAGCCCTATGCCTGTTTCTGAGTTCACAGGGGAAGACTGAGGACACAAAAACAAGAAAGAGTTTATGCTGTTTTAGTCTCCTAAAAAAGGAAACCCCAACCACACCCCAAACCCCAAAGCAAAAACACAAAACAGGGCTTTAATTACCACCTTTTTTTCCCTTCCTTCCTTTTTTTTTTTTTATTCTCCAGCCAGAAAACATTATGTTGTTAGACAAGAATATTCCCATTCCACACATCAAGCTGATTGACTTTGGCCTGGCTCATGAAATAGAAGATGGAGTTGAATTTAAGAGCATTTTTGGGACGCCAGAATTTGTTGGTGAGTTTCAGGCAAAGAATCTGGCATCAAAGGTAGAGAAATCCCAGGAACAAACCAGTGTCTGGGGTTATGGCCTCTGGGGTGAGAGTCGATGCCTGGGGACATCCCCTAGAAACCTAATGGGTGGGGAAGGAAGTGTCTTGCTGGGCCTCTGCATGAGGGTGCAAGCGCAGGCTTTGAGCACCCAGTGGGGCTCGGGGTGGGGGTGGGGGTGTACAGTTAGGGCTAGAGGCCTTTGCAGAGTGAAATCTCCCAAGCCGGCCCCACCTCCTCCTCTTAGATGAGTTTATTGTGAGGATTTAAAACTGCCTCACCCTCTTGTATTCCCATAAACTCAACCTTCTCTAAAATAGCTTGATTTCCTGGAGAGGAAAAAGGAAGCCATCTGCCAGACATACCCATTCACCTCTCTGTGTGCCTGGCCTTTCTTCATGCATGGGGTGCCCAGCTCCTGTGGAGCCCTGGCTGCTTTCTCTTCCCCCTATTTCTCTCACCCTTAGCCCAGGCCCCTGCCTGTCCTGCCCCCAGAAGCCCCCTTATATGGCTTGGGCTGGGGGTTCAGAGTCATGAAGAAACAGTCCTGCAGAGGGGAAAGGAATAGATAGAACCACCATCTATTTGGGAGTTGGAGTGGTCTTAGACATGGAGGGAGGGTGTGGTCTCCTCAAAATCTAGGAACTAAAGCTTCTGACCACAGTCTAATCAAAAAGGAAAATAGAATGTGTTAGACCATCCGTCCTGATGGATTTCCAAGCCGCATATATTAGCTCTGCAGTCACTATGGAACGTTGCTGCAGAGACCCCACAGACCTCAGGGCAGGGAACCCTTGTTGTGTGTGCCAGGCACTATGTCTTGCATGCTACATACATCATCCCAATTAATCCTCAAATGGCTTCATGAACCAGATTTAGTTATTTTCTCCATTAAGTGCCTTGTTCAAGTGCAACACAACCAGTAAGTAGGTGGTGGAGCTGAGATTCAAATACAGATACAGCTAACATCAAAGCCTATGCCCCTTCTGCTATACCTGGTTCTCTCTCTAAGAAGACCCCCAAGGAGCTTACAGTTTAGTTGTGGAAACAAGACATCAAACCACTAAATAAGAGTGCTGGAAGGATCTTTTCAGATCATCTGGTCCAGTTTAACTAATGTGGAAATGGAGGGCTGGGGGATTTTAGTTAAGGTCAACCAAGGTTATTCTTCACCTACTGCATGGTGCACTGAGTGAGCCACATTCAGAACGACATACCGAAGGTCATAAGTTGGTGGCAGAGCCAACTTAAACCTGGGACACAGACATCAGAAGTTTGAGAGAGCAGTTGCTGCCTACCATTCACATATATGGTAAAAATGCATGTTTATTAGTTAAGTTTATTCCAGTTGTTAAATAACAATAGTTCAACTAGAAATTCAGAGCAATAATGGAAGGGGTGTCGCAAGACAGGATGTTAATTGTAAAGCAAGTCATATAAGACCGCTCTGAGAGACTGTTCAGACAAGATATCCGCTCTGGCAAGGTCAATGGGATCAGTCATGAACTTGAGTCAGTAAGGGGCAAAGGGCTGCTGTTGGGGGTGGGAAAAGTCTCTGAAGCAGGGTGGGAAGTGAGCGAGGGTAGAGGAGGAACACATCCCAGGTTCTGTGATACCGTAGCAGAAGAGTAAGACCAGAATGAGTGCATGCATCAGGGGCAAGTCACTGTCTACTCTGAATGGAGCCAAGAGTTCACGCCAGACTGTTGGTATGAGTGATGTTGATGAGTGGGACCAGATTATGGAAGGTTTTCCCAGTGGTATGCTGATAAATGTCTAACAATGAGGTCTCAAAAAAAATCCTTAATTTATAGCATTGGCCAGTTTCAAGATACCAACATGTTATCATTGAATACAGAGCTGGGAAGAGATAGATGCACATAATTGGCTCTTATTAGCCAGTATGGTTTTATTTGCAATGGTTTTGTTTGCACCTTACAGATATACAGGGCAACGTGCCTAAGCCGCTGCCTTTCCCAAGATCCCTGAGCAACAGATTGTAAGCACTTTCCCCTATTCCCATCACTCCTCTGAAATTTTAACCTGAGAGCCAGGGTTAAAAAGTTAGTGTCAGCTTTCAGTAGTGTGGTGGACAAAAGGCTCTCCCACTACAAAACTGGATTCTTGAGGAAAAAAAATTCTTTTCAATGAATTTTGGGCTCATAGAAAATGAGAAATCTTTAAAGATAATAACTCTTTCAGCAACACCTGTTCCACCCCCAAAAACTAGTGAATTGAACTTAGAGCTGGAGCTGTGAGCAGCAAAAAAATAAAAAGAAAGAAAGAAAGAAATGGGAGGACCTCCTAGAGACAAGTGCACACATCAGCATCTCAATCAGAGACTAGCAAGATTTAGATGTTCAAGGACATAAGACATTGAAATGATCAAATTTTGACTATAAAATAAGTGGAATGTATATAGAAACAAAAGGTAGAATCGCAAGAATGAGCAAGCAAGAAGAGATGTCAAAAATGACCAGGCAAATTTTTAAAAGAACCAGATAGATGTAACTTTTAAAAATTCAAAAGAAATTCAATATATAATTTTTGAAATTTAAAACTCAATGAGGCTGAATGAGGTGGCTTATGACTGTAATTCTAGTACTCTGGGAGGCTGTGGCAGGAGGATGAAACCAGGCTTGAGGTCCGGAGTTTGAAACCAGTCTGAGCAAGAGCAAGATCCCATTTCTACAAAAAATAGAAAAAATTAGCTGAGTGTGTGGCCTGCACCTGTAATCTCATCTACTCAGGAGGCTGAGGCAGGAGGATGTTTTGAACCCAGGAGTTTGAGGTTGCAGTGAGCTATGATGACACCACTGCACTATAGACAGTGCAACAGAGCAAGACTCTGTCTCAAAAAAACAAAACAAACAAAACACAACCCTCAATGCATGGGTTAAATAGCAGATTGCACACAGCTGAGGAGAGAATGGAAGACTTAAAAGACTGAGCTGAAAAAAATTAGCTAGAGTACCATAGAATGACAAAGACATGGCAATATGAAAGAAAGGATAAGTAAAAGAGGGTAAAAAAAAAAAAAGCCTAACATAGGTCTCTTTGGAATCCAAAAAGAAGGAAATAGAGACAATAAAGGAGAAGCAACATTTGAGGGGAATGGCTGAGAATTTTCGGAACTGCATCCATGCACAGATACAGAAGCACAATGTATATCACGCAGAAAAAAAATAAATGCATACCTAGACACATTACAGTGAAGCTAGGGTACCAAAGACAAAGCAGCCAGAGAGAAAAGACAGATCACCTACAAAAGAACAATAATTAGATTGACAACATATTTCTCAAAACAACAATAGAAGCCAGTAGCCAATGGAATATTTTCTTAAAGAGCTGAGGAAAAATAAAAAACCCGTAGTTGTGTGCCCAGAAATATTATATTTTAAGAATAAGGAGAAAGATTCAGGAAAAACACAAAGAACAACAATAAACCCCCAAAACATTAAAATAGAGTTTACTACCAATAGACCTTCATTAATAGAACTTCTGAAAGATGTACTTCTTTCTCTCTCTCTTTTTTTTCTTTTTTTTCAAGACAGGATCTCGCTCTGTCACCCGGGCTAGAGTACAAAGCATCATCGTAGCTCACTGTAGCCTCAACCTCTTGGGCTCAAGTGATCCTCCTACCTCAGCCTCCCAAGTAGCTGGGACTACAGGTGCATACCACCATGCCTAGTTAATTGTTCTATCTTCTGTAGAGACAGGGTCTTGCTCTTGCTCAGGCTGGTCTCAAACTCCTGGCCTTAAGCAATCCTCCTGCCTCAGTCTCCCAAAATGTAAAAGATATACTTCTAAATTGAGGAAATGAACTCTGAAGGGCAATCTCAAAGCAAGAAGTAATAGGAGCAAAGAAATCAGTAAACATTAGGTAAATATAAACATTTTCTGTCTAAAAAATGATAATGATAAAGTTTTAATTGTGGAGTTAAAAATGGACAGAACTAAAAACTGAAGAAAATAATGTTAGCTAGAACAGAGTGTTTGAAATTACTGTCCTAAGGTTCTTGGATTGTTTGAGAAGGGTCAAAATGCTGATTTATGTTAGAATTTGTTAGATATCTGTAGTCAAGTCTCAAGGGTAGCCATTTAAAAAAAAAAAAAAAAGAAGTTGGGGAAAAAACAGTAAGAAAACTAACCAAAAATCTCCATTAAAAAAAAAACGCAAAAAAAAAAAAAAAAAAAGGCAAGAAAGGAGAAGGAAAGCACACACACATGAAAAATAGACAAAAGCACATAGATGACATACATATATCTCAAGCAGATTAACACTGGAAAGTGAGTTGTGCTTCTCAAACTATAGTTTTTTCTTTTTTAAAAAGTTTCAATCTGTCCTGGACTCTATTTTAGTATAATCCAAGGAAAATAAATTCCTAGAAAGATGATCAGAGTTTGGCTATCACAGCAATGTCAAATTGCTATAAGTCTCTAAATGCATACTCCTAATTTCCACACCTATCTCGTTGGACCAGTGACGATCTGCAGACTGTGTCTGTGGACCATACTGTGAATGTCACTGTCCTAAAGAAAGTTTTTCACATGCACGTCAAGAGGCACATACAAAAAAGTTCATAGCAATTTTGTTCCAATAACAAAAGAAACGGAAACCATCCAAATGATCTCTGAGAGGAGAATGACTAAAACATGATATATATTCACACAATGAACTACTATAGAGCAGCGAACATGAAAAAACATGGATGAACACTCAGTGAACACTAGAAGCATAATGTTGAGCGAAAAAATCAAATGATCTGAGTGACTGTAGATCACTTGCAGTATGATGCCACTTTTGTAAACCTAAAAAGTAAGCGACACCAGGACAGCGGTCCCCTGTGTCTTGCAGTGTGGAGAGGCAGGAGGGATGGTAGACACACCCTGTGGATGCAGCGGTTCTGCTGCTGTTCTAGATACGCAAACTCAGCTTTTCCCACCTTTTTCATTAGCAGTTGAACAGGCTCAGTCCTTCCTCCTTCTCAAGCTACTGCCCTCTCTTTCACTTCCATTTCACCAATGAGCTTTTTAAAAGGGTCATCTACACTCTTTTCTCCGCTTTCCACCTTCTGGACACTCTGGGTGCTGCAGTGAGTGTGAATCCAGTGCTTGCTTTCCAGTGCTCATCTGCTTGCTCTCTGGGAGTGCCTGGTCCACTTCTGTCCTCTCCTCGGTAGAGGCTTCTCTCCTAGACGCTGCACCCTCTCCTGGTCCACATCATTGGCTCAGCTCCTGTTTCTACCTGTACATTGATGAGGCATTTGTTGGCTCTGGCCCACTCCCCGTAGCCTGCCCCCGGACATCTTCCTCTGGCACCGCTCAGGCACCTCAAGCTCATCATCTCAGTGGTCCCCAAAAATGTCCTCCTGCCCGTCAGCTGGGAGGTACCCTCTTTCAGACCAGACCCAGAGGAAGGTGGATTCCTTCTCTGCCACCGTTTCTTCTCCGTCACCTTCCAGTGCTGCCCTGACTGGCTTTTACCGCAGCATTCCAAAGCAGGCCTGTTCTCTGGGGCCGCATTTATCCTTCCGCACCTTCCTCTCCCCACCTTCCTCTTCCTTTTTCATGTGTTTTATGTGCTTTCCCTCTTTCTCACTGTCAAGGCCTGTGCGTAAAGGTTTCTACCAGGAAGACAGGCAAGTCCTGTCTTAGTCCTTTCGGGCTGCTATCACGGAATACCTTAGGTTGGGTTATTTATAAGCAATAACTGTATTGCTCACAGTTCTGAAGGCTGGGAAGTCCAAGACCAAGGTGCCAGCAGATTTGGAGTCTGGCGACGGCTCACTCTCTATTTCATATGTGGCACCTCCTGTGGCAGGAGGGACAAACAAGCTCCCTCGGGCCTGCTGTGTAAGCACATTAGTTTATTCACGAGGGTTCCACTCTCATGACCTGTCACCTCCTAAAGGCCCCATCTCTAATACTGTTTCATGGGCAATTAGGTTTCAACATAGGAATTTTGAGGAAACACAAACATCTGGGCCATAGCAACTCCGTTCCTCAGAATTCTTGAGTGTAGATTATCTCCATCTGCTGCTCTGATTTTCCTTACTGGGGATTCAGGATGGAGACATTTGGTGCCAAATTCCCTAAAATTCCCTATAATCATCTGCTCTCCTTTTCATGCTCCTGTTGACTCTTTAATGTGACTTCTTTCAGCTCCAGAGATTGTGAACTATGAGCCCCTGGGTCTGGAGGCCGACATGTGGTAAGTTGCACAAGCCATCCAGGTGGCCGAGGGGTCCTTCCAGGGGCAGAAGTCCTCAGACCCTGCTTGGGGTGACTGTGAAACCCTTTTCTCCACACTCACCTTTCAGAGCCTCTGGCTGGTCCAGGTGTGCTGGACCTGCAGTCCGGGCAGCTGGAGGCCACCAGGCCTGGACCTGAGGCTGGTTAGAGTCTGGCTGGGTCACAGCTTTGTCAGCAGTGGAGGAGCTAGGGGAGAGGTGAGGTGGAGGTGCAGGCTCAGCCCCGGGCCTGCACCTGGCTGGTTTTTACCACAGAATTCTCAAGCAGCCTGGATAAAGATGATAGTGACGGTAGCTCTGTCAGCTGGTCAACCAAGTGGTCCCGGAGAGCCTTGAGTGTTCTGGGCACTGTGTTGGGCAGTGATCGATTCTCTGCATACGCAGGGCTCGTTTCATTTGAGCACTGCTTTATAGTTCATTCATTAATGAATGAACTATCTTCATTACCTGGCTTTCTAAAATCCTGCCAACGGTCCTGTGAGATAGTCATCATCATCCTAATTTTATAAGGAGAAAGAAGTACATAGGTGTTAAGGGACTTGCCTAAGTTGTAGAGCCTGCAAGTGTGGGAGTCTGGCCTTGAACTTGGGTCCTTAGACTCAGTGTCCAGAGCTTAGTGACTTCAAATGCATCCTGGGCTGGACAGAGGGGTGTGGAGCTTAAGGCAGCATCCAGGGGCTGCCAAGGAGGAAGCTGATGATCTCCTCCCCTGAGATCCATGTGGGGGTCCCTGGCTGCCTGGGATCGGAGCCCAGTGGCCTGACTTACTGTTCTCTGTTTTGCAGGAGCATAGGCGTCATCACCTACATCCTGTGAGTATCCCTGATCCTGGGGCTCCGACCCAGCTTAGGTTGGGGCAAGTGGGAGGGATGAGAGAGGGGCAGGCAGATAGTCTGACATTTATGGAGCACCCACCCTAAGCCAGGTGTGTTCAGTCCACACAGCAAACCTGAGGCTAAGTGGGGTGAGCTCCATTTCCTACATTAGACCCTGGGGTTGAGGTTGAGCAGGAACGTAGGAGAGCAGCTCCGGCCTTCCGTCCTGCACAGCCTGTGTCTGCATCCCCACCGTGGAACCCCAGGGCTCCCTACTGCGCCTGCCCCAGACTGAGGGTTACTGTGACAGCCTCAGGACTGCCCTGAAGCTGCCTGTGCCCTCCCCAGTCTTGCCTCTTCTTTCTCTCCCCTCTCCCTTCCTTTTCCCAGATGCCTTTGTCTTCCTCGCACATTTTCTCTCCTCCTTTCTCTTTCTTCCTCTCCGGTCCCTGAAGTATCCAGTTGCCTAAGCAGAGATTTCCTGCATAGCTCCATTGTGTAGTGGGGTACATCTGGGGCTGGAGTCTGATGATACTGTCACTTTCCATCCCTGTGGCCTTGAGCAGGTACTTAAAGTCTGGGCCTGTTTTTCTCATCAGAAAAATAGGAATCACAAACTTCCCACCACAGGCACGCTGTGAGGGCTAGATAAGCCAACGTGTGCAAATTTCCTACCCTGACTCTGGCACGTACACAGCGGGTTAGTAGGTGTTCATTCCATCAGTGCTTCCCGTTTTCCCCTCGTGGCACACGTGGAAAGTGCTATGTTTTGGCACACAGGGATATGAGAGTCAGCCCAGAGTGGGCAGGGATGCCAGATCATCCTCTCAACAACCCAGGAGCTCTGGATGATGTGGGGGGTTCCCCTGAGCTGTGGCAGAGGGTGTCGGCCCTGGCTGCACAGTGGAGGGGACAGACCGGAATGAAGTTAATTCCCCAGGTGGTGGAGAGGGAGGGAAGGGCTGTACCGGCCAAGAAACGGCAGGAAGAAAGGAATGGTGAGCGTGTTAAGTGTGGCTGAAATGTACCGAGCACGAGGTAAGGACCAACTTCTGATGCTGTGCTCCGGAGTTTAGATGGGATCTATAGAGAGAATGGGGAATCATAGAAGGTTCTTTGTATTCTAACATTGACAATAATAATGGCCATTAACTCCAGAGCCCTTAGTATGGGCCAAGAATGCATGAAGCATTTTGTATGCATTTATTCTTCCCAATAACCATGTGAGGTGGGGACTTTTATTTTCTTTATTTCACAGATGAAGAAACTGCAGCTCAAAGAGGTTGAGTTCACACAGCTAATGAGTGGTTGAGCTGGGATTCAAACCCAGGACTGAAAGCTCAAAGTTTTTCCAGTGCACCTAGCTGCCACCACGCTAAGAAAGTGGCAGTGGAGCTGGGAGTGACTTTCAAGAGATACATAGTAAATGTCACCTGCGAGACTTCTGGCCAGTTAGATGTGGCAAGGAAATAGAAGGAAGAGTCCGAGGTGACTCCTGTGTTTCTGGCTTCAGAACATTGGTGGAGTAGGGCGTGCGTGGAGTGGGGTCTGGCGCAGTGAGTTCGGGGACAGTGGTATGTCTGGGTGGAGGATCCCAGAACAACTGGAATGTGAGTCCGGAGAGGGCAGGTTCGGGAGTCACTATTTGATGGGTACACCCTTGACAATCCCTGGGAGGGAGCCCCACAGACTCTTCTAGTCCCCAGTGGTTCATCTGTTTCCATAGCTCCTGGGCTTTGCTCAAGTTGCTCCCGAAGCCTGGAAGATCTTTCCATCCCCCTCTCTGACTGCTGACAACGTCTCCGTTCTTCAGGATGCAACTGATGCAAATGTCAGTGCTGCCACGGAGCTGCATGGCCCCCCTCTTTCCTGTGCTCCCCCACCCTTTATCTGGCCTCTTGTTACGTTCTGCTTTGTTCCGCCAGAGATTGTGAAGAACCATGTCTCTGCATTTCTCTCTCCTCAACTTCGCGTCCCTTGCAGGCGCAATTTGTCTCCCTCGGGTACTTAGTAGGAGCTCCGTAACAGTGTATCGAATTGGACTCAGTTGAAAAGGCTGCTGGTTGGCTGGCCAGAGGGGGCCGGTTGTGTTGCTGGGAGCCTTCCAGCCCCATGTGACAGTACAGGTTAGGGTTCCCTGAGTCCGTCACCCCCATTTCCAGCTACTTCCCCACAGTCATGTGGTTTCCTCTCTGTTGTGCTCAGCCTGAGTGGAGCGTCCCCTTTCCTGGGAGACACAAAGCAGGAAACGCTGGCGAACATCACGGCGGTGAGTTACGACTTCGATGAGGAATTCTTCAGCCAGACTAGCGAGCTGGCCAAGGACTTCATTAGGAAGCTTCTGGTTAAAGAGACCCGGTAAGAGGACAGAGAAAGCCACTGGCTTCTCAGGTATCGACCCCTCCTGTCACCTCTCTCAGAGATGCATGGGTCTGTCCCTGCTTTGCCACAGCTGTCATCTGTACCATTGTTGTCTAATCAGGGCAGGGGCTGGGGAGTGTGGACTGGCCGAGACTTGGCATTCAACTTGTTTGCTAAAGTCTTTCTGCTTTCTTCTCCTGCCGAAATGTAATCAACTCTGTGTGTTGGTGGGGGGGGGGGGTTGTAAGTCAGCCTGGGTTTCCTTAGAGCTCATTGGCTTGTGCAGTCTGTCCCAAAGGCACTGGAATTCAGATTTGAAAAAGTAAAGGAGCAGGGGTTCCAAGCCAATTCCGGCTGGGATTCAGTGGGGGGAGGTGGGTACAGAGAGGTCAGTACAGGGAGGATGGGAGATGTGCTAATCCTTCCCCTTCTTCAGGGCCGGGGTGAGCCTGTGGCTGTGGGGTCAACGAAGGAAACAGGCAGATAATTGTAGGTGCTGGGTGCCCAGAGCATGGCCTGCATGGAGCAGGTGGAAAGGTCCACAGACTAGACCGCCATGTCCTGTCAGTCTCAGGGCCGTGCTAAGTAGGGTCACCTGCCTGGGTACAGAGCAGCAAAGGCCAGAGGAGGGATCTGGGGGCCAAAAAACAGAAACAGAGAGCAGACGTGTAGCAATGGAGAGCTGGCTTTTGGAGGATTCTGGAAGCTCAGTAGAGTATTTGTGACTCTCCTATAGTGTGGTATTAGGCCTTTCAGCTTTGGGACTGAAGGTGAGGGTTTGGGTAGTAAGGCCACTCTACCGAGGGGTCTACCTGGACCACCTTCCCTGCAGGGTATGCAGCCAATTGCTTTCCATCTCTGCATCCTCCGTTACACTGGTTTGATAGCAGTGGTCAAAAAATGCCAAAATATAGGTCTAAAACGAGTGAGAATGGAGACTGTTGCTCCTAGCTTCTGTCCTCGTGGATCATCACTGTGTTCTAATCCTCACTGCAGGAAACGGCTCACCATCCAAGAGGCTCTCAGACACCCCTGGATCACGGTAAGGGCATGGCCATGAGTTCCAGCGGGCAGGGGTCTCTGCTCTGTCGCCAGGGCTGGCTGGGGCAGAGGGCCTGTGGAGAGGCCTTTGCTTGAAACACTAACCTTGGGCACAGCTGAAAGCTACTCAGGGCCCCCAAGGGGCCTAGCTTGTTCAAATAGGTTTATGCTACTTTAAGTTTGCGTTTCACAGGTACAGGTAACTTATGCAATGAAACCCTCATAAGCCTCACTTGAAACCTTTTTCTTTGGGGCCAACTTACAAACTGTCCTTTGTTGGAAGATGGGTCACCACCACTTCTCAAAGCAAGAATCAGGACTCCCTAGTTGTAGAGAGATCAATGGCAATAAAAAACCCCAACTTTGCAACCAGGGTTCCTTCTTTCTGACTTTTGGGGCTCTGGCTCAAGGATGACACTCAGATCAGTCGCTGGCCTTCCTCAGACACCATAAGGCCTCAGGAACAGGCCTCAAAGGGAAGAGAGGCAGCCACTGTCAAGGCAGTTCTCTTCCCTCTAGGGAGGGCCGGGGCAAAAAGGCAAATCCCTGCCTAACTCACCTTGCAATTGAGACTCCAACTGCTGGCTTTTCAGAAGGTCTTGAAGTCTAGTCTAGGGAAACGCACTTTGGGAGGGTGGGGCTCAGAGACTGGCCCTAGTTCTGCTGACTGGCTAGCTATGCGTACCCAAGGATGTCACCAGATGTCCCGTTCACCTTAATTGTTAAATGAGAAGGCCAGGGAGGATGGTCTGAGAGTGCAGATAAGAAGGGGTGAGACCTGTGCAAGATGGGGAACCCGGAGGGCTGGAGTGGTTTGGGAGATCAGCTTCACCTGCTCATTGAAGGATGGGGAAGGCCAAGGGCCCTCCAGCGTGGGTGGGCCTTGAGCGCAGAGAGCTGGAGTCTCTTGGGCTGCTCCTGCACAGTGTGCTCAGTGTTGCCGAGGCCTCAGAGATGCTCCTCAGCCTTCCTGCATCAGCCTCGTGTGCTCCAGCCCTTGAGTGGTTGCCTGCAGGGTCCTGGCTGTAGCCTGCTTGTCTGCGCAAACGTCCCTTAAACGCTGAGCGTGTGGAAACCCTCTCTAATGGCCGTGGACACCTCTGAAGTGAACATGCAGGCGGTACCCCCTCACCCCTTGACCTTTCTTATGGCCTGCAGGGGTGCTCGTCCCACCCTGGTTCTCCCCACAGCCTGATGCATGCAGTGAATGCCAAAGAGGCCATGTGTGTGCCTTCTGCCTGCACCTCGGACTGCCCTTGGGGGCATGCGGCAAGTTAACACTCAGTTCTTCTGTCTGAACACCCACCAGTCAAAAGGAGAAGGCAGAGCCCCTGAGCAGCGGAAGACAGAGCCCACCCAGCTGAAGACCAAGCACCTGAGAGAGTACACCCTCAAATGCCACTCAAGCATGCCCCGAAACAACACCTATGTCAACTTCGAGCGTTTTGCCCATGTGGTGGAGGACTTGGCTCGGGTGGACCAGGGATGCCGTGCCCTGGCGGGGGCCCACGATACCATCCAGGATGACGTGGAGGCCCTGGTCTCCATCTACAATGAAAAGGAAGCTTGGTACCGAGAGGAGAATGAGCGCACCCGACACGACCTGTCTCAGCTCAGGTATGAGTTCCGCAAGATGGAGTCCTTGAAGAAGCTCCTGCGAGAAGACATCCAGGCTGCAGGGGCCAGCCTTGGAGGGGTGGCCAGGAAATTGGACCATCTGCAGGTTGAGTTCGAGGCTCTGAGGCAGGAGCTGTCAACAGACCTACAGTGGATCCAGGAACTGGTGGGCAGCTTCCAGCTGGAGAGTGGGAGCTCAGAGGGCCCGGGCTCTGCGTTCCACCGGGACACCAGTGTATCCCTGTCGGAGCTGCTGAACAGATCATGCTCTGAGGAAGTCCTGGCCAGCTGGAAGCTCTGAGCACCCGAATCCAGTCAGTGATGCATCCTGGATGGTTTGCAGAAGCACGTTCTCATCCGCCCTGCTGCGGCATGCAGCTAGAATTAATTATCCTGCAGGGGTGTGTGTCTGTAGCATAGCCTTCCACCCCCTCCACAGAAGCCAGAATCGCAGAGGTGCTGGTTCATTATTCATTCTGCACCTCCCGCACCAATCTGGTTTTCTGAGAGGGCGCTGGCAGGGCAGCCAAGCTGTTAAAACAATTAGAGAATGAATACCCCTTAGTGTACCCTTCTCCAGAGGGAGGACGGCTGGCCCTGGGGAGCTGCTGGATAATTGATTTGTGATGATGGATTTGTTCACATCTCACGTCCTGCCTACATGCCTTATGGAATGTAGATCTTGGGCAATATTTGAGTTAAGTAGGGATAACTAAGTTAGCATGGTGCTTTCCTGCTACAGAAGTGGGGATTTAAAATGCACAGAGAAAATAATATTACCTTCTGTTTGGATTGGCTTTTCAATTACCAAGCACTTGTGTCAGTGACCTCGCTTGATGCTTAAAAGAACTCTCTGAGATAGGAAAGTGAGTGGCATTATTATTATTATTTCCATGTAACTGATGAGAAAATTGACTCAGAGAGGGGAAATGACTTAGGCTCACTCATAGCTAGTCAGTACGGATGAAACAGGAGCCCAAGATGCCCATCTCTAAGATGAGGTATATGGGAGGGAGTAGTTAGGCTTTGCTGTAAATATCCACCTTAATATTAAAGTTCAGATCCCAGAGGCAAAGTAAGCGACTTCACGTATTCTGCCAGGTATAGGTGCAGCGCACACACCTGCAGATGACTGGCCCAGGAACGGTGTCCCAGAAGGCACCGTCACTGTTCCTACCCAGCCCCAACCTGTCTGAAGACCAGCCTGCAGAGCAGGGGGGGAGGAGCAGCATCTCCCCCTTCTCTACCCTTCCCCCTTCTGGCTAAGGACCCTAACTTTGGGTGAGAATGAAGACCAAAAGGTGCTCAACAGGAGGTTCCTTTTCTTATGTACCTGGGCCATTGGGCCCTGAAGGTCTAAGAAATTCCATGAGGGTTTTTGAAGAGGGTAGACATAAATGTTGGGAAGCACAAGGCTTCATGGTCTCTTTATGACCCAAAGCTTTGAGCAACCCTCCCGAGGATTATAAGATCTCATCTCCCTTTCCCTGGAGGAGGGGCCAGCCAACCGGCTCATGTAGACAGAGCAGGGAGTATGGGCCCCGTGCTGCACTAGAAGGTTTGGGGTTGGGGGAGCAGATTGTGTAGTTACAAAGTGCCTTCATGGCTTCACAAAACATCCCTGCCAGAGAGGCTGGGTAAGTGTCGTTCCCAATTTAGAGAAGAAGAAACAGAGGATGTTATTTGCCCAAGGTCCCATCATTTGTGACAGAAATGGAGGCCTTCTCATGACAAGTCTGTTGCTCCTTCTGTCTCTCCTGATCGCCCCAGGCTCTGGGAGTTTGCTCTGCTTGTGGAAGCAGGTTATGTCCAGACCCATCCATCCATCCACAAAAAATAATCAGGCACCTACCAACTTCCAGATGCTGAACTTGACTCTGGAGATAAAATGTTGAGTAAAAATAGGCTTCTTTCCTGACTTCATGAAGTTTTCAGTCTGTGGAGGATTCTCACGTTGATTAAGAATCACACAAGCGACACATGCTATGAAACAGAAGCGTGCAGCACTGCAAGAGCCTGCAGTAGGGGTCTGATCTCGTGAGGCGAGGTGTCCTTGACGCGGTGATGCTGGAGGCGAGATCAGCTAAGCGAGCCAGGGAGCGAGAAGTGCTCCCAACAGAGCCGTTCATGCCAGGGCTCTGTGATGAGAGGGGGCATGGCAGGCAGCAAACACTGGAGGGGAGCAAATGGGAGTGTGGTGTGGACATGGTCAGAGAGGAGGCAGGAGCAGCAGGGCTTTGGCCATGTTAAAGAACTGTGCCTTGGCCAGGCGCGGTGGCTCACACCTGTAATCCTAGCACTCTGGGAGGCCAGGGTGGGAGGATCACTTGAGGTCAGGAGTTCGAGACCAGCCTAAGCAACAGCAAGACCCTGCCTCTACTAAAAATAGAAAAATTAGCCAGGCGCAGTAGGCTCAGCTCCTGAAGAGGCTGAGGCAGGAGGATTGCTAGACCCCAGGAGTTTGAGGTTGCTGTGAGCTATGATGATACCACTGCACTCTAGCAAGGGGTGAGAGTGAGACTCTTTTCAAAAGAAAAACAGAAAAAAGAATTGTGCCTTTATCCCAGAAGTCACAGGAAGTTCACTGATGGGTTCTGGGCAAGTCAACTGTCCCAGGTGCTAAAGGGGGAATGCCCAGTTAGCAGCACAGACAGGAAGTGGTTTAGGACAGGATGTGAAAGTTTGATCTCATGAAACCATTTCTTCAAAATCCTATCTCCTTTTCTATTAGTATGCTGGACGATTTCAAATATCATATACAATATTTGTAACAGTGATTTTTCATCAACTATGAGAAGCCATGATTATAAGATGCATCATTATTATGCGGAGCACTAAGAATGAAAAAAACAAAGCCCAAGATGGGGAGTCCAATAGGAAACCCCCCACATAAAGCTGCGATACCCTTAGTATCCCCCTTGGTGAGGGGGTAAATGAAAAACAAAGCCACCATGCAGAAAGGGAGCACAAGGAAACGTGTGTGTCTCCACCTTGTCACTAGGTGGGGATGAAAAATCCTGTCCTGGGGAAAGGACCGGAGGCTGGCGGTACTCATGCAGGTTTGCTTTCTGCATTTGCGTAGTGTGATCCAAAAGAACTCCAAGCAGAAAATGTAATGTCTGACAGTCTGAGGCAGGGTGGCCCCAAATGCTGGCAGAAACAGCTCAGGCCTCTCCTGAAGCGCCTGCCTTCACTCCAGGCTGACACCAAGGATGTGTCACCGAATGGGAGATGCCTCCTGATTTCAGAGATCTGAAAATGTGCATCCTGGAACCAATGCAAGATGGCAAAAGCCTGTTTCCTGTGTCCTACCTGCGAGAATTGGCACAACTCACCTGTCTACAATCTCTCCAAGGTCTTACCTGCCCTGTAAGGACGTCGTATGCTTGTTTGGTGTTAAGACACCGCAAACATTAAAGGTCCCTTTGGCTGTGTCAACAGGCCTTAACCTTCACACAGCCGGGTTTCCTAAGGAGAGGAAGCCACTGACTGAGGAGCATGCAGGGAAACTGTCTAGTGAAGGTCAAAATAAAATGCACTGAAAGAGTAAGAGTTGGTGCTGATTTGAATCAGGGAAGCCGGGACAACGGAGGGAGAATTGTGCACACTGTTCAGGCTCAGAGGGTCCTCGGAGGTGAACCACCTGACGCCACCATTTTACAACATTTCACAGGGCAGGACTTGTCTGTAGTCACCCAGCTAGTCAGCCCCCAGCCTGGGCTCAGAGCCACAAGTGGTTTTCCTCACTGCAGTGAAATCACCGTCTCTGTGTTTGTGTCTGGTCATTGGCAACTGCTTCTCATTTAGACACTCCACGAACAGACCGTTTCTGTACAAAGAGAGTAGAGAAATGCCCCCAAGTCTTTCAGAGAAATCAGAGAAGGCTATGGCCTTTCTCTGCCACCTGGCCAGTCGAACTCCCGTCCCCCTCGGCATGGCAACCTAGTGCCGAGGGGAGCCCACGGAGGTGTGTGGGTGCAGCCAGGGGACCTGCTGAACTCTTCCCCAAGCCCGCAGCTGGCATTTTAGCAGCGGTGTCGAGGGCCAGGCTAACGATGGCGGGACGGGGTGTGGGGAGTGGAAGGTGTCGCTGGTGCTAGAGGGAGGAAGGCTCTGTGGGCAGGCCCCTTGCCTCTGCTGTCGTGGAGGATTTTTAATTCACCAGACTGCGAATCAAAGGTCAGCTCCTGTGCTCTGTTCCAACACCGTCCTGGGCTGTCAGCATCTCCCTGAATGACAGTTCCCACAGGAGCTGGAAGTTGGCCCATGGGGAAGGCAGCAGCCTGTCCCTACTCTGAGGCAGATGCTCACAGCTACGATTGCCCGACTTTGTGTCAGAAAGGATGGTGATGGTTTGGTAATCACTGATTCTGCAGCCGCAGGAGGCTGGCAATGAAGGGATGAGCAGAGGAGTGATGACGGGAGAAGCCAGGGTCTCCTCTGTGACCCCCACCCCCATCCTCCCGGTCCCCTGCAGGTGATTGTAAGGTGGTGGCTTCCCGCCTCACTCCATCACGCAGCACAGTCGGCCCGTGTTGGAGGTGGCTGTGTGCCCAGCTGTCACCCCCACTGGCGACCTTCTGTAAATGTCTGTGGAACTGAATGCCTTTTCTTCTTTGTCTGTGAAATTCTTGGCCTGTGGAGAAGATTCTTTGCCCTGGAGAGGAGACCCAGCAGTGGCCATATTCAAGTTGCAGAAGGGGCCAGTTCAGTTGAACAAACATTGATTGTGCTCTGCCTCTAGGGGGGAGGTGACAGATAAGGACAAGACAACCCGAATAAAAGACTCAGTGTCTGGGGCAGATGGGGACCCAACCAACTGGGAGATGGGAAAAGCTGTGGTGAGTGATAAAATAGCTACCTCAGATTCCAGAAAACCAGGGAGAGAGTTCTGATTGAGAAAGGGTAGGAAAGGCAGCAGAGAGCAAAGGCCTCCCCAGGGATGGGCTCCCCACCCCTGACACCCCCCACCCCAAGCTGTATCCCCATGAGGAAGGTGTGAGTAGAATTTGGAGGGGCGGGGATGAGGCCGGGTTGGGGTCAGGAACTTAGAACAGTTGAGTGGAGATTAAAGAGAGGGAGATTACAGAGGTTAAAAAGAGGGAGAGTTTTTGGTTTTAATTTTTTGTTATGGTCTTCTCAGCAGGAAAATTTTCAAAACTTACACAAAAGTATAGAGAATGGTATAGGGAATTCCATGTACCCGTCACCCTGCTTCAACAGGAAGTCATGGCCAGTCCTCCTTCATTCATTTCCCCCATTACTTTTTCCTGGAGTATTTTAAAGCAAACTTCAGATTTATTTAACTCTTAAATTCTTCAGCATGAATCTCTGATAAGGACTGACTTTTTTTTAGAGACAGGATCTCACTGTGTTACCCAGGCTGCAGTGCAGTGGTGTGATCGCAGCTCAAGCCTGGGCTCAAGAGATCCTCCTGCCTCAGTAGCTGGGACTACAGGCGCATACCACCACGCCTGGCTGATTTTTTATTTTTTTGCAGAGATAAGATCTCTCTATGTTGCCCAGGCTGGTCTCAAACTCCTGGCCTCAAGTGATCCTCCTGCCTCAGCCTCCCAAAGTGCTGGGATTACACGCATGAGCCACTGTACCCGGCCAGGACTTTCTTTTTTAAATAACCACCGTGCCATTATCACACCTGACAAAATCAGCAATAATTACTTGATCTCATCTGGGTACCCATTCCATACTCACGTGTCCCCGCTGTTGTCAGGGGTGTCCTGTTACCACCAGTTTGTTCAATTCAGGATCCAAACACAGTCTGCACATGGCATTTGGTTGCTACATCTCTCAAGTGTCTTGGGCTTTGTAAGAGTACGAGAGGAAGAACTTTTGAAGCTTTTCCTGGGGACAAAAAATTGCTGAGAATAGTGAAGGTCCCAGAGAAGAGAATTAAAAGAGAATATATCCATGCTGGGACCTAACTCAGAAAAGTGAGACCAGACTGAGCAAGGAAAGGGACGTTCCTGCCTCCTTCCATTGGCGTGTTTGCTGTAGGGGACACCTGCAGGCGCTCAGCCTTTCCGCAGCCCTCCCCACCTGTTTATGCCAAGGCAGAGACTCAGGTCCCCACAAGCCTCATGTGCTCCTTTCCTGGGAAAATAGGCAGGTGGGGCCAACAGGGCCCAGGCTCCAGCCATCAAAACAGCCAGCAAAGGAGAGAGGTGGAGGTGCCTCCTATAGAGACTCTGCTGAGAGAGGAAGGGGTGAGGCCCGGCCTGACGGTCCTGGGCAGGAAAGAGAAATGGGTGCGAGGGTGCCCCTGGCTGTCATTGGAGTGTGGGGCTCGAGAGCTGGCACAGATAGAGCTTGGGAGAGTTGCAATCTGCTTGCAGTTTCTAAAGGAGGCCTAGTATTTAGAGAAGATTGTCTGGCAGGGCTCCTCTACTATAAAGCCAGGATTCCTTTTTTCATGCCTTAGCGATGGCTGCTGCTTCCTCTCCCTGCTCTGTGGGTGTCGGTACTGACCGAGCATGGCCCACTGGACTTTTCAAAGGCATTTGCATCCGCATGAACAAAACTCGACTACAGCCACAGCTTTCTGTTCCCTTGCCTCCCTTTCTGACATTTTTCCAACACACCAAACACACTCCTAGGAGCCTGGTCAGAATCGCTCAAAGCTCCCTGGTATCACCGATGGACCACAAGGCCTGGAGGTGGACACTGCTTGCAGAGAAGGGTGGAGCTATGTTCCATCTTCCCCTCACATCCCCGATTTAATCAAAAGTGTTTGTGCCACGTTTCTTCTGGGAACGGACTTTGCCGTGGAATTGACCTCTCTCTGACTTTCAAGGCTGAGATGACAGCATCAGCATTTGGTGAGCCTCTTAGCAACCAGGGAGGCCCATTGATCAGGAAAGGCCGGCCTGACAGATTTACAGCCTGGGCGGCTTCCTCGGGTCTCATGCTGCTGCTGTAGCTATGGACAGGGCCCTACAAGCAATTGCATCACCTCCCATTAATGGCCTCTGGGAATGGTCTCACCTGCCATTTTAGCTGGGCCAGTAGGAGGCTGGGATTCTTGTTAACCTGATCCCCCTAGTTTGCATTCAACCCTCCAGCTATGGATTCAGCTATTTCTCTCCTGGGCGAGGGTTCCGGTCAGTAAGCGGACAAAAAGAGGTCCCTTCCCTCCCAGAGTCTACTAATCCCACCTCATCAAACTGTCCTGTGAGGTACAAGTGCCCCTGCAAGGGTTAGGCTTAAAGACCACTCATGCCAGAGGGAATTGCAGAGTCAGTGAAGTTCAAGGTGGAAGTGTTTTATGGGTTGGGGAGGGTGCTAACCACCTTGGAAGGAGCTAGCAGGAGCTGGGCGGTGTGAAGGAGAGGAAACTGAAGAAAGACAAGTACAGTGGGCCCTCCCATCCGAGAGTTCCACAGCCTCGGGTAGAACCAACCACAGATTGAAAATATTTGGAAAAAAAAAAAATACAAAGTGAAAACTACAGTGTAACAGCTATTTACATAGCATTTAAATTGTATTAGGTATTGTAAGTACTCTAGAGGTGCTTTTAAGTATCCGGAGGATGTGCGTAGGTTATATGCAGAGATGGCACCATTTTAGATAAGAGACTTAAGCATCCGAGGATTTTGGTGTCTGTGGGGGTCCTGGACCCAGTCCCCTACAGAGACCCAGGATCGACTGTAAATAAATACAGAATAAAATGTCAGGTAGTGGCACATACAATGAAGAAGTAGAGCGCAGGCATGGTGAGTCGTGGGGGGCAGTTGGGGGTGCTACTTAGGGTGGTCAAGGAGGGCCTCCCTGAGGAGGTGACAGTTGAGCAAAGTTGGGGTATACAGAGAGCACTGGAAGCCACTAGAAGGCTTGGAGAAGAAGAAAAGCAGTCCTCTGCACAGATCAGTTGCCCCCTGCCCGCTTTTGTGCCTCCCTTCCAGGTGGGACTAGACCCAGGGCTGAGCTCACAGGTGTGCAGAAGGGGTGACAGGTGGTTAAGGTCAGGGTTCAGAGAGGTGGGCATGGCCCGATGGTCCCTCAACAGCCTCATCCTTTTCTCTTCCCTCTCCCTGTCTGCCTCCTTCCCCTCTTCTTTTTCCTTCTGCCCCCTTTGGCCCAAACCACTGTGTTCCAGTTTGGGAGCGCAAACAGTCCCTGGCTTTCCCATCTCCCCGCCACATCAAGGCTGTGTGCCCTCTCCCGCTCCCCTGCTTCCCTGCCCCCCTGCCCCCCGGCCCCATGGAGCTCTGCATCTCACCGACTCCTGGGTAGGGCCCTGGGAGCCGTGGTGTCATGACACCCTTTCATGGTGCTACCACTGGGCTGATCCGCGTGACCTGGGCCTCTCAGCGATGGGTGTGAGCAGTTCCCAGGTCCTGGGATTTCATTCCAATTTTCTCTCCTCGGCAGCTCAGGGAGCCAATTTAACAACAAAACTATTAACTGTTGTAGGTTGTGGGTGCGGAGGAGAGTGGGGTAGGGGGCATTGCCACAGACATAGAGAAAGTCTCTGTGCCCTCGAGTTGTTTTGCAGTGCTGGGATGATTACTCTGCAAGGCTGGCTGAGACCCGTGCTACAAACAAGAAAGCAGCACACATGTGCTTCGGCCATGTTGGGGAGGGAGATGTCATTTTCTGGAAGTTGTCTTGGGGGAAGTCACACTTGAATTGGGTGTTGAAACACTTAGAGGCCTTCTAGGGGGATGGGGTGAGGTGGCCATGGCATGGGCCTCCTGCCAGAGGATGCCAAGTCCAGAGTAGTGTGGCCAGCAGTGTGCACTGGCTTCCTTCTGGTGCCTGGCGCCATGATGAAAAATAACAAAGCGGAGGCGAGCTCGGAATGTGGTCAGGAGACAAGATTAGCGCTCGGGAATTGATGAGCTGCCTCGTTCCGCTTCACCCAGGCGACATTGCAGCGAGAAGGCTGTCGGAGCAGAGAGAAAAATAGAGCTGCATGGAGCTTTGTGGAGCATCCTGGGAAGTTCATTTTCTTGAGGTCGCAGGGTCCTTTGAGAACCGCTGAAAGCTGTAACTCTCCTCAGAAGAAACACATTTCCGCACATACACACTAAATTGTTTTTTTATTGAGATATAATTCACATGCCATAAAATTCATCACTTTAAAATGTACTATTCAGTGGTTTTTAGTATATTCACAAGGTTGTGCAACTATCATCAGTATCTAATTCCAGAGCATTTTCATTACTCCAGAAAAAAACTTCTTCCCTTTACTAGTCATTCCCCATTCTCATCTATCCCCAGCCCTGGCAACTACTGATCTTCTTTCTGTTTCTGTGGATTTGCCACATTTATGTAGGCTGCTTTCATTTAACCTAATGTTTTCAAGGTTCGTTTGTTTTGTAAAATGTATCAGGACTCCATTTACTTTTATTAATAACATTCCTGAGTAATATTCCATTATATGGATATAGCACATTTGGTTAATTCATCAGTTGATGCATGTTGGGTTGTTTCCACTTTTTGGTTTTTTTTGAATAATGCTGCTGCGAACATTCATGTACAAATATACACACTAAAATTTGCAAATCATTTCAGGAGGTTCCCAGGACCCTAGGAACCCATCTCTTGATCTAGAAAACTTTTTTTTTTTTACAAAATGGAGGAATCCAAGAGGGAATGGAGAAGGCAGGAGAGCTGATAATAATTTATTACTATTTGTTGAGTGGCACTGAGTTAAGTGCTTTACATACCCACAATCATTCCATCCTTAACAACCCAGGGACATATTATTATCCCCATATTACAGATGAGAAAACTGAAGCTCAGAGAAGCCATGCCAGGCTGCTTGGAGAAGTCAAGATTTAAGCTGAGCTTTGACTGCCGGGCTGTGAAAGGCAACTACACATCCTGTCTCCTCTTGAGCTCCATCAAAGCCCCTATTTCCTTTATTTTTTAATGGAGTATTAATACCCTGTCTGCCAAAAAGTCATCCATGTGCTAAGTCCAGAACCATCCCAGTGTACAGGGGGCATCCCAGACTGCTGTAAAATGACCCTGTCCCCAAAGTGATTGGTGACTGAAGCCCTGCCTCCAGCCAAGCCTCCGTGTGTGTCTGGCTGTGGTAATAATAGCTCAGGGGCATCTCCTGAACAGCTGAGGCATCTGTAGCTGTCGCCCTCACTGTGATGCTCCCACTGCATGCCCTGCCTGGTGGGGAGGTGCCAGGACCAGGCCAAGGATGGCGGGTGTGTGTCTGGGGGTTCTGCGGGGAGGGCGGTGGCTGCTGTCCGAAGCCACCCGGCATCAGCCACCACGCTCTGCTTTGTCTCCCAGCCGGTGGACAACCAGCAAGCCATGGTGCGCAGGGAGTCCGTGGTCAACCTGGAGAACTTCAAGAGGCAGTATGTGCGCAGGCGGTGGAAGGTGTGTCCAGGTTTGCGGTGGGGGCAGGGGGCACAGGCGGGGTGCTAGCTGTCTGCTGGGTCTCGGTGCAGGTTGTCACCTGGAGTTCCTTTTCTCTGCCTCCCTCAGCTCTCCTTCAGCATCGTCTCCCTGTGCAACCACCTCACCCGCTCGCTGATGAAGAAGGCGCACCTGAGGCCAGATGCGGACTTGGTAGGTAAAGGCAGTGCCCTCCTTCTGGGCAGAATTCCGCGGTGGCCTGGAGCTCAGGGATGGGGAGAGCTCCCTCTTCCCCCAAGGCGGGTGGATGTCAACTCTTTCCAGCCAGCGCTGCTGGCCCTGTCCTCTTCCTTGAAGGCTGAAGCACGATCATCAGAGGCACGTGTGTTCGGGGGACCCCTAAGTGGTGCTCTGATGGGGCAGCGTGAGCTTGTGGCGGATCTTGAACCCTTTCCAGGTGGGGCTTCAGAAGGACTGCTGCTGCCACTCCGGCCCACCCCTCTAGCCTCTGCCTGAGGACTGGTAGCCCACCAGGAACCCTGCAGACTCTGGAAAATGAGTTCCATAGACGACCCAAAATTTATTTATGACAACCCAAAAATCTGCTTTAGAATGGTAGCTTTACATGCTTATTTCAATTTTTCCATTTCTGTTTTGCTTTTGATTACCATTATAAATAATAATGATATTTAGATGCTATCTTACATTTGATTACTTTGTTGCAGTTTTACATGCATTTAAAATGGGAGGCATAGAACAGAATGTGCTTGTGAAGAGTGTGGCCTCTGGAGCCAGACTGCCAAAATTCAACTCTTCCTCTTACTAGCTGTGTGACCTTGAGGAAATTACTTAACCTCTCTGTGCTAAAATTTTATCAATTGTAAAATTGGGTTAGTAATAGTTCCTGAGGATTAAACGATGACATATTCTTAAAGTCTGGCATGTCAGTGTTCAATAAGTGTCAGCAATTATTGTTGTTTTTTAAAATCCTCCTGTAAACTTTAAACTGCAGTGCCAATGTTAGTATTTCGGTTGGCAGGGATTCCCTGGACAGGCCCTCCCCCTGCTCAGGGTGTGTGATGTGGGCCCAGGAGCACCTGGGATGGCACTGGTCGGGACAGAAGGTGACTCCCCGCTCAGGAAGGGGCTGGAAGGCAGCTGGATGGACAGTCAGTCCTGTGTCGCATCAGGGTGCACAGTGCTGTGCTCCCCATGCCCCCCACATAGCCTGGGGTCTCTTTTCTTCAGCTTGAGCTCTTATGTATTCTTGCTCTTGCCAGGACTTGAGCGTTTATGGCTCCAGAGGCCTGAAACAAACTGCGCAGCTCTGGCCAAGCCCTGTGCCTTCTCTTACTGCTTTCCTCACCTGCTATAAAAGGGACTGGACCTCCCTCCCTCTCAGAATGCCTGATCTTGCCAGGCGGACTTTGCCCAGCTTACTTTTTTACTGTGTGGCTCTGACTCATTCTAACAGTTGCCATTCAGCAGAGCTTGAGTTATTTTTATTGACATAGCCGGGCTCAGTCTAGGATGTATTTGGCTAAAGTTGATCTTGACCTTGGATTTTCAGCTGGCTCAGGGCAGGAGAAAGAGAGGAGGCTCTGGACGAGCAAGTGGCAGGCAGCGGGTACGGCTGTCGGGCTGAGCCCCCAGCCCGGTTGCCCTGATAGAACGTAGGCAGTGGGGAGAGAGGGCCAGAGAGTAACTGAAAAGAATTTCTTTCCTAACTGTTGTCCTTGAGCAAACATTTTTTAAATAGTCCTCTTTTTACTCAAACATTCAGCAAGTACCATCAGCTCTAGAAGTAGAAAAGGATTGGGTTTCAGATGTCTGTTATACAGTTTTCCCAAAGGGACTTTCCTTTTTAAAAAAAAAAAAAAGTAATGCTAGGTCTTTTTGTTTAGGAAGCATCGGATTGAACATCTGACAGCAGATTTGTGTGTGTGTGTGTGTGTGTGTGTGTGTGTGTGTGTGTGAGAGAGAGAGAGAAAGAGAGAGGGAGAGAGAGGGTCCGCTCTGTCACCCAGGCTGGAGTGAGTGGCATGATCATATCTTGCTGCAGCCTCAGAGTCCTGGGCTCAAGCGATCCTTCCACCTCAGCCTCCCTAGTACCTGGGACTACAGACACATGATACCATGCCTGGCTAATTTTTTTATTTTTTGTAGAGACATGGTCTTTTTTTTTTTTTTTTTTTTTTTTGAGACAGAGTCTCACTGTTTTGCCCGGGCTTGAGTGCCGTGGCATCAGCCTAGCTCATGGCAACCTCAAACTCCTGGGCTCAAGCGATCCTCCTGCCTCAGCCTCCCGAGTAGCTGGGACTACAGGCATGTGCCACCATGCCCGGCTATTTTTTCTATATATTTTTAGTTGTCCAATTAATTTCTTTCTATTTTTAGTAGAGACGGGGTCTCGCTCTTGCTCAGGCTGGTTTCGAACTCCTGAGCTCAAACAATCCGCCCGCCTCGGCCTCCCAGAGAGCTAGGATTACAGGCGTGAGCCACCGCGCCCGGCCTAGAGACACGGTCTTGCTATGTTGCTCAGGATGGAACAAATTTTTTCTGATGACTCATTTAAGTCTTTCTGAATTAGTATATCTTTTAATAATTTTAGCAATTTAATTAGATCCGTGTGACCCGAACGAAAAGACATGGCTGCCTTCGGCTCTGGTTCAGCCACGTAGGAGCTGACAGACTGCACTTTATAATCTCTTCCTCTTTCATAAAAATGGAACTCAGAAGTCATTTGCCTGAAAAAACTGCACAGCAGGCCTTGCTAAAGATGCAGCGCGGGCCCATCAAAGACGAGGGGGTGTGGAGTGACGGCTGTCAAGAGCGTGGGGAGGAACCTGTGGCTCGCCCCTCCCGTTCCCTCTAGGCTGAGCTCAGGAGACCTGTCAGCCCACAGACCACCTACCCCTGTGGTCTTGGTTATGTGGCAGCCACAAAGGGCACCAGACATAATTTTCACTATGACAATTCGGCCTCTCCCGATGCCTGATTTCCCTTAGGTATCCTACCTGCTTTTAGGCAGTTGGTCTGGCCTCATTTCGGGTGCTCCCCTACCCCTACCACTGGGGGTGGAATAACAGGCTTCCCTTCGACACCCACCTCCCTGGCTTCTAGGCCCCTGGCCCAGGTATCAACCCCTGTCGCCCAGCACAACCCCACTCCTGGCATATCTAATGACCTCCTGTCCTGGACCCCTCTCTTTTTCCCCCCACAGAGGAATTGTGAGAGTGACACTGAGGAGGACATCGCCAAGAGGAAAGCCCTCCACCCCCGGAGGAGGAGCAGTACCTCCTAACTGGCCTGGCTTGCAGCGGCCGCCAGGGAGGTCCATGCCCAGCGGGACTCCCTTCTGTGCAGACTCTCAGACCCAGCTCATCACCAGCACCCCGTGTGTTCTGCATCCTGAGCACTTTGCAAGAGACATGGGCCTGCGGAGTTCAGAAGAGTTTGCAAGGGAGCCAGGAGGCCCTGGGAGCTGTGGCTGTCTGCTGTGGAGGAGGCGCCAGCATCCCCAAAGTTCTTAACTCTCCATGAAACGGGCTTTCATCTGTGTGCCACCCTCAGAACCTGGGTGGGGCGTGTGCTGAGGAAAACTGTAAAGGAGCATCATCTTCATCGTGGGGTGAAGGTCAGGCTCGGGCAGCTTTCCTCACGGGGTGAGGAGTTCGGAACCAGCTGGTCACAGATCACACCAGGAAGACAGAGGTCTCCCCCGTGGGAACAGGGCGAGTGACTAAAGTGAATCTTGGGTGTGAGGGACCAATCCTGTGACCTCCCAGAACCCGCAGGAGTCAGGACATCAAGCCGACCAACATGTATCAGACTGTCGCCAGCCCACTGTGTTGTAATTTGTTTCATTTTTATTAAACTTCCGGCTTACCTGATGCTTGGTTTCTTTCAGGGCTATCCCATTCTGAGTTCCTTTAGCCCAGGTGCCTATGACTCTGTGGGAGCATCAGATTGGGGTGCTGAGTGGACAGAACCTCAGAAGGTCCTGCTGACCATCCCCTCCGGCCTGCAGGGGGCCCGCCCTCTGCGTGCTTCCCCAGAGAGAAGGTGTCCAGCCCAAGAAAATCTGCCCAGAGACCAGCATGTGATGCCCGTGGTCCCTCTGCCACCACTGCCATCACTCCTGTGTTAGGGCCTGGGCTGTGTCCCCCCCAGATTCATATGCTGAAGTCCTAACCCTCAGTATCACAGACTATCACTGTATTTGGAGATAGGCTCTTTAAAGAGGTAACTAAAATGAGCTCACTGGGGTGGTCCCTAATCCAATGCGACTGGTGCCTTGTAGGAAGGGGAGATTAGGACACAGAGGAAAGACCACGCGAAGACACGGTGGAGGGGGTTGGGGGGAGAATGGCCACCTACAAGCTGAGGAGAAAGGCCTTAGAAGAAACCAACCCTGCTGACACCAAGGTCTTGGACTTCCAGCCTCCAGCATTGTAAGAAAATAAATTTCTGTTGTTGGAGCTACCCAGTTTGTGGTGCTTTGTTGTGGCCCTAGCAGACTATACCCTGCCAACTACAGCCAAGATGGGGCAGGGAGTTCTTTAGGATGTGGACGGAGAAGAGCAAAGAAGGGCACACAGGGAGAAAGGAGAGGAAAAGAGGTGGATTTCCTGGACCCCGGCGTGGAAATGGCAAGGGAACCTCAACAACGTAGAGCTCTGGGCCCTGCTTTCCCAGCCAAAGGAATGGTGTCGCTGACCACGGGTGTCAGAAATAGAGTCCGGGTGAGTCCTGGAGGTTGGGAAAATACTTGGGAAGAGGTGGAAAGAAAGGGAAAGAAGTTATGGAAGGTGAATGAAGGGGCTGAGTTGAGTAAGTGAGTTGGGAAGGAGAGGGCAAATTGAAAAAGCGTAGAAATGAAAGGGCCCCAGGGAAAAGGGGGGCACCCCTTCCCTTTGTTGGCAGCCAGCCGATGGATCCAGAGCAAAATGGATGGATCCAGTTTCAGGAAAGCTTCCAGTCAGAAATGGAGTGGGCCTGCAGGCTTGTCGCGGAAAATTCTGCAGTCGACCTCTGTTCTCAGCAGAGCCAGCGCTGTACCTCCAGCTCGGGAGGACGCCGAGGCCGAGAACTGCTGGCTGCATTCAGGGCCCTGTGAGGGGCTCTTGGCTGTGGCTGGTCACAGAATTCAGCAGGGAATGTCTCGGAACAGGGAGCTCCTAGGACGTCTAGGGCTGGGGGAGGGGCTGCCCTCCTGCTGGAAAGGACGGCAGCGAGGGGCTTGGACGAACACAGGCTCGAGTGTCTGACCACGATCATAGGGTTGGCCTTTTCAACTCTCTAGCCCAACTGAAGAGGAAACTGAAGCCCAGAGAGAGGAAGTGACTGGTTCTGCTTCACACAGCGAATTTGTGAATATATCTGATGAAAGCCCAGACTTCCTGACTCCTAGCATAGTGCTCATTTCTTCACCTTGATAAACTGTGGGGGGCCTCTCAGGAAGTAATGGACCGTAAGCTTTGCCTCATTTCTTTTTTTTTTTTTTTTGAGACAGAGTCTCACTGTGTTGCCCCAGCTAGAGTGCCGTGGCGTCAGCCTAGCTCACAGCATCCTCAAACTCCTGGGCTCAAGCGATCCTCCTGCCTCAGCCTCCCGAGTAGCTGGGACTACAGGCATGTGCCACTATGCCTGGCTAATTTTTTCTATATATATTTTTAGTTGTCCAATTAATTTCTTTCTATTTTTAGTAGAGACGGGGTCTCTCTCTTGCTCAGGCTGGTTTCGAACTCTTGAGCTCAAACAATCCGCCCGCCTCGGCCTCCCAGAGAGCTAGGATTACAGGCATGAGCCACCGCACCCGGCCTTTGCCTCATTTCTAACAAGCTCTCATCTCTCCTTTCCAGCTGCCTGCCATGCCCTTCATTCTTAGAAATGGAAGAAATTGCCACATTTGCTTCTGCTCCTCTTTTCACAGTAAAGGACACTGCCCCTGGGTGGGTGCATCGTAGCTGCCAACCCCACAGGCTGCAAGGCAAGCAGGGAACCAATATTTATTGGACTCCCCGTATGTACTTGGCACTGTTCTAGATGCTGGAGTTAGAACAGAGGACAGGACAGACACTGTCCCTGCCCTAAAGGGGTCCGCATTCTATGAGCCCTGGCAATCCAGGACCGTGTCATGTCCACAGACTGTTCCCACCAGCCGCCTTCTCATCCAGGTTACATAAAGCCCTGCTGACTGAGTCCCCTTAGTCAGCTTTCAGCTTTCTGGTGTTTGATGGCACCTGCTGGGTTTCCCAGAATCCCTTGGAAAGCACAGGGCCAGGCAGTGGGCAGAGGGGGGCCTTTGAGGGTGCACATCCTTTGAGGATGCCTCTGAGGCCCAGCAGCCAGAACCATGCACCCACGCCACTCCCAAACAGGGCCACAGTCCCCATGGCCTCTCTGCTAGCAGATGGCTGCTGCTCTCCAGGTGTGAGGATGAGTGCAGCAGCTGGCCCGGAGGACCCAAATGTGCTCTGTTGCTCTGAAGAAGGATGTGTCGACCAGCTGACACTTCAAGGCTGAAAGAGACCGCAGTGTGCTCTGAGGCAGATGGAACATTTCCAGTGATGAAAGCCATGCTTGATTAAAATGCAGTTCTTTAAAGAGGTCTGAGGGTGCCCTGCCCCAGAGTGTGTGCCTGTGTGTTTGCAAGATGCTGCATTAATATTTCACTAATATCCATATAAATAGTTTAGTGCACTGCATTTTAATGTCAATCTCACCGGCTTTCCTGACTCCAGATCTTAGATTGCATTTGCCTTTTCCACTTGCATATTAATTTGCTGAAAACCTTATTTTGAAAGCAAACGGAGGCCATATCATGAGAGGCAAACCACAAAATCTCTACAAAAGAAAAGTCAGGCCCTGTACTGCACAAAGTATGTACGTAAGTACATGTGAGAGAGCTAACTTGAGGACTGATCTATCACAAGGAATTTTATCTGGCACAGGCTTGTAGAACATTCTTTGCATCTGGTCCCCAGCTTGACGTCATCCTGACATTGTTCACTGTTGCTTCACCCCAAAGAATAGTATCTTCCTTGGTGGTCTGCTAAGAGGATCCCATTCTAAGCAAACCTTAATATGCTTAGGGACTGAGCAGCTGAAGATCTGTAAACAGTGGTTAATTGACATTTTTCAAAAAACAGAAACACAGTTGGTGAGCTCTCATTAGTAGTTTCTCTCTACCTGTTTTTCTCTTTCTCCCATCAGTTCTTTTTTTTCTTTCCCCCTCTGCCCATTAGCAATTCATAATATGTAGCTGAAGTGTATATTTTAGTAATTACTTACTGAATAAAATTCATGTTCCCAGTTCTTAATCTAAACAAGTTGATTATATTATATAGGGAGAAATAATTTGTAAGTATTTTCCCCGCTGTAGATCAGTGATCCTCCACCCCTGAGCTAGAGGAAAAGTGAAACAAACAAAGAAGCTCACAGTGATTTTTAAAAATCTGTCTGTAATAGGAACATTTTGCATACATTTCATTTAATCCTCTTCCTAACCTTGTAAGGGAAACGAGAGCCCCATTTATGGTGATGCCAAAGCTTGGACAGTGGAATTAAGGAATTTGCATGGATCACACGGCTGGAGTATGGGGAACCTGGATTTCCAGCCCGGCGTTGCCCACCCCAAATCCGTATTCTCTGCTTTTCTTGGAGAAACAGTGTTGAATGAAAACACAATTCCAGAGAACCACAGTATGATATTATTTTTTTAAAGCTCAAAAACTATACCCCAAGTTGTTTAGGGATACGTGCGAGTGTGATAAAATTGAATTTTAAAAGCAAGAATTCGGGATGAAGTTTGCGTCTGAGCAGCTGAGATGAGGGAGAGGATGAGGGTGTGCTGGGTTCTCGGCCGGGTCCCAGCAGACACAGTTCTTGGTGGGCTCCTGCAAGTTCAGTTTATTCGAACTTACACGTTAGTTGTCTGAGCTTTTGCACGTATTAAATATTACGTTAAAATAACAAAGGGAAAAAGTGAGATGAAAAAAGTCAACCCTAACGGCAGCAGTTGCCACAGTGGCCTCTATTGGGGACAGGACATGGTGGCTGCATGGTGACCGTCCCTGAGTGTGCTTTTCCCCTCTGACTCCTTGGTAGGCTTCTCTTTGGGTTCTTTTACTGGCATCTTGATCAGAGGCCATCACACCTCTCTGTGAGAATATGTGGGCTGGGATTACTATTCCCATTTTAAAGAGAAGGGATAGAACTATCCCTTCCTCTCCCAGCCTTGCCTCCTCAGGTATCACCTCCCCTTGGAGTTTGCCTAAGGACATGGGTCTAATGACAACCTCCAAGGCCAACCAGGCTGAGTTTGCAAACTCATGCTCCAGGTGCCATTATTCTGCTCTTAGAGGGGATTGTCCTTGGGTTTCTTTGTCTCATTTTGGAATTGAGCCAAGGAGATCCTATATCTTCCCTCAATCCCCTTTTCTAGCTCTTAATAGTCCTTATTATATTTCACCTCTCAGAGCCAAAAAGCCTGGGCTAAGTCCTGCCACTTTTCAGCTATTGGACCTTGGCCTTGTCATTCAACCTTTCTGGGCCTCGATTTTCTCATCTGTGAAATGGTGGTAATAATATCAGTGTTAATTGTCAGGAGTGCCTTGTTGAAACACATTTTATAAAGGAGCTTTGTCAATTTTGAAGGATTTGGCATATATGAGGGGTTTGTTATTTATACAATTTAATTATGCTCTGAGACCATAGGTGTCAAGACTGTAGGGAAGTTCAAACTTTTCCTTTGAAGGTTCCATAACTGAGTCTGCTGAAATAAATTACTATAGGTAGATTACCAGGAGAAAAGCCCTTTTTTTTTTTTTTTTTGAGACAGAGTCTTGTTCTGTCACCCTGGCTAGTGTACAGTGGCATCATCCTAGTTGACTGCAACCTCAAACTCCTGGGCTCAAGCTATCCTCCTACCTCAGCCTCCCAGGTGGCTGGGACTACAGGCACGCGCCACCATGCCCGGCTAATTTTTTCTGTTTTTAGTTGTTTGGCCAATTTCTTTCCATTTTTAGTAGAGACGGGGTCTCACCCTTGCTCAGGCTGGTCTCGAACTCCTGAGCTCAAACGATCCGCCTGCCTCGGCCT